CCCCCGCCCAAAGCCTGGTCTTAGAGTGAACTTGAGCGCTCAGCCCATTAGCAAGAACACTCGGGATAGGATAACTTCTCATCAAACGAGGTTGGGCCTAAGGCTCCTTTGGTTTTGGATCAGATCTGAAGACACTGCAGATTCCAGCGTGAAGGTGGGGAAGGCAGTTTTGTCGGCTGCTGGGTCTCCCTGGGGCCCTCTCGCTTGTTATTTGCAGACCCTAGTCTTGCACAGAGGAGTGTTTTATGGACATTTGTCTGATCTGAACCTCTTCTCATTTCAGCAGGTACTATATTAGAAATGTGACCCTACTTTACAAAATGATTTATTTTTGGTTTTCAAAATGGAACTTGGTTCTTTCGACGAGAATATGGGGTTTCTGCCCTTATACTTCCCCTATGAGTGAGTCTGCTCTAGAGACCAGAAGTTGGAGAATTGGTATGTGGACACCCTGCTTTCTCAAGAGGTGCTGGGAGGAGCCAGAGGTTCCGGCTCTGGCTCTGCCCCACATGCTAGGAAAGGGCAGTACCTGTATGTGTTCCCTGCCTATCACCCTCTTCTCCTTCCTCCAGGCCTGCATCTTAATTTCTTTTTGGAGAACCTCCCTTCTACCACACTTGGCCATGTGGCTCACATGGGCTGACCGCTCCTGCTCTATAGCAGGCACTTCATTAATTCATTTACTCATTCATGTACCAAATCTTTGTTGGTAGCATGTGAGACCCTGTTCTGGGCACTGGGGATACAGCAAGGAGCAAAGATGTCAATTTCCTGCTCGTGTGCAGCTGACATTTTAGTAGAGAAGACAATGAATATAAAAGGAATCAGTCTGACTATTGTTCTCCTTGGAATTGGTCCGTGGATGGGCCCACACATCATACTGCCCAAGGGCTCGAGTCTCACTTTTGCTCCATCTCCATGGGTTTGCCATGGGAGTGGAACATGAGCCTGAGCTGCTAACGGCCATTCCTCAGAAGAACATGCTGGAGAGTGAGGAGGCCAAGCACACAGGAGAGCAGAACCGAGCCAGACTGAGAGAGACCTAGTCCCAACAACACTGTTTGAACCCCTGGATCTAGCTGGGCCAGAAGTACCCATTTCTGGCCCTTTTCAGTTACATGAGCCACTATAAATGCCCCTTTTCTGCTTAGGTCTCTAGTGTTGAATTTCTGTCACTTGAAATCAAAGTTTCTTGGTGGGGATTGAGGCAAACGTCTACGAAGTCCCTTCAAGTTCCAAGATTTTATGATATAAAGACTCTGAACTCATGTTTTGGTTCAGAAAAGATCACCCCTACTGGGTAGGATTTGATGTTCATGTTTAGCAATTGCCTTGCCTTCAGACACTGGGCTAGATAACTTTGTAGATGTATTGTTTAAAATCTTCTTGATCTCACAAACATGGTTCAAACCCACAAGTCAGGGAAACCGTGACTCCACTGCAGTTGAAAATGTCTCTTCTTTGCCTTCTTTTCCATTCTTACTGCCAACCCCAGTGCCCACCCCTCACCCACTCTCCTCACTGCTCTCTGCACCCTGCTTCAGACTGAGGTCCCCTGTTCCCAGGTTTTCTCACTCACTCCACCGGCCAATCCTCTCCTGAAAACACAGCTCTGCTCATGTTACTCCCAAGCAAAAGCGTAGGAAGGCTCCCACCAATCACAGAAAAGCACCAGCTGCCTAGAGGCCAGGCAGTGACCTTCTCTTCCCCCACTGATATAAGCTCCAGTCAAATGGGAATCACCTACGTCAGCTGAGTCTTCTCTGCTGCTCCCATTACCCCAGCAATGGAAGTGAATGCCCCACCACGCTCCCAGGACATCAGAGACCTCCCAGGGACCTAGGTCCTATTCCTTGGAAACAACAAAGTTAAAATAGACGTAGAATGTCCTGTCCTGATAGCCTTTATGTGAAGCTCTGCACGTGGACTGGATATTGAGGCTGTTTCTCTATCAAAGTGACTTGGCTCTTCCAGGTAAGAGTGGGATGCTTCACTCTTACTGATATGATTTCAAACAGCAAAGTTTTAACAGTCTATGAATTTAGAGAACAAGTTTTCTTAGTAAGAAAGCACAAGTCGTTCAAAGAAGGGGGTACCCTGGGGGGAAACACTGTTTACTGTCAACTTTGCAGCTGGCTTTATCTATATTGTTATTCCAGTCTGATGAACCACAGGACCTATTTTTCTCAGTCTGAGCTAATTTTTACTTCCTCGGAACACTTATCTAATGCAGTAGTGGACACATAATGAGACCTGTGACTGTGAGGTTGGTGCTGTCCAGGTGAGCTGGTGGGGCAGGGTGATGGGATTGCAAAGAAACTTTGAGGGTTTGAGAATAGAAAAGGAAACTGAACAGTGCTAGGAATTCAGGGAAGGTAACCAGGGGCCAAAAATTCTGAGTGGCTGTGGGTGGTTTCTGTGGATGGAATGCGGGATTATTCCAGTGCATGACACAAGGCATCACTGGGTTTGCTAAGAAACTCAGAAGACTCTACAGATGTTCCAAGCAGAAAGGATGCTGGTACAGGGAATCAGAAGCTTACACACTGATGAAGAAGCTTTTGGAGGACAGGACAGAAAAGGCCCCAGAAACCTCAGAGGTGGGGCACCTGTTGCTGCAGGGTATAAGCTTCCTACAGCTACGAGTATGCCATCTACCCACATGTCTGCCTGCAACTAGTGCTAAAGAATAACAGCGTCTCCTCTTCTTCCAGAGCCCTGGTGGTGCAGTGGTTAAGAACTACGGCTGCTAACCAAAAGGTCGGTAGTTCAAATTCATCAGCTGCTCCTTGGAAACTGTCTTAGGCTGGGTTCTCTAGAGAAGGAAAACCAGTAAAGCATATAAATACATATACAGAGATTTCTATCAAGGAAACAGCTCACACGATTGTAGAGGCTAGAATGTCCCAAGTCTGTGGATCAGGGTAGAGGCCTCTCCCAATTCACAGAGCAGAAACTGGTGAGCCCAGGATCAGCAGGTCAGAGAGCAGGACTCCCGCTCACAGGCTGTGAAGGTCAACGAATTCCAACATTGGCAGGCAAGACCGCAAGGTTTCTCCTGATTAATGTAGCTGCAGGGGCTGGTGAACTCAAGATCGACAGGTCAGAGAGCAGGGCTCTGCTCATGGTTTGTGAAGATGGACGAATCCCAATTTCAGCAGATAAACTGACAGCTCAAGTCCCAAGAACTGGAGGTGAGATGACAGGAGGCAGCCACAGGATCCAAAGTCAGCAAACAGCCAGAATGTCTGTTTATATTCAGATGCAGGCCACACCCCCAAGGAAACTCCTTTTCATCTGACTGGCTACTCACAGTATATTCAATCATGGAAGTGATCACATATAAACACTGAGAATCATGGCGCAGCTGAGTTGACACACAATCTTGACTATCACAGAAACCCTATGGGACAGTTCTACTCTGTCCTATAGGATTGCTATGAGTTGGAATCAACTTGTTGGCAATAGGTTACAGTTTTACCTCCTTTTCCACCCTCTACACCTTGCATGGGTGTCTCTCACTGGTAGACACTTACCTTGCACCAAATGGGAAACAAAGTTCCTGGCCGAGGAGGTAAGAAGAGGAAGTGGAGAAGATGCCAAGGTGACATCCAGCCTACACATATGATGCTGTGAGATGAACTGGTGCAGCAGAAGTGGGGGCTAGGAGTGAGCTGGCACTGAAGATAGCACCCCTCCCCTGCTCTGGGGATCTGCAGAAACGTGCATAGGACATAGAATGAGGGTTTGAGCTAGTCTCATCTATGTCGCAAGGAACAGGGAGACTGCAGTTAGGAATTTAATTACAATGATTCTTCCTTCAATTCGATAGCTGTACACATTTACCCACATTTCCTGTTGATGACCCATGAAACTACCATAAATTCTAAAGTAGTACAATAAGCAATATTTAAAATATTCTTGATAAGTGAAAGGCACAAAAATGAACACAGCACAAATAAAAGAAACAATAAGAGAAACATTGATTTCTTTGATGATCCTAGCGTTCCTGCTGAAGAGCAGACTCCCCAGAATGTCCTCTTTGCTCCTTGCCCAAAATACAGACAACAATCAGTGTTCCCAGATAGTCTGGGAACTTTGACTTCTCTCTTATAAACTCTGGTTTTTGCTTCTGTTTGTTGACAACATTCTAATAATTGTTCTCTCTCAAAAATCAGTTAATATGTGTGCAAATAACTAACTGTCTCAAGTCATTCCTTAATCAGAAAAACGCATACAAATCATATACAACTGACAGTACAGATAGCAACAGCTGCCTGGATATTGAGTTCTTATAACCTTGATCCAAATGGAGTTTCCATAATCCACCATTTTCTTTTTAATTAGAAGAAAACTATTTACGTGTGAAAGGAAGCTTATTTCAACTACTCAGCCACATTTTGCCTACGCTTAAAATCCAAGAGCAAGTCCTTGGCGCAGGCACACAGATGGTATAGTGTCTACAGAAAACCATTAGCCTCTAGGTGCACCCCATCCAAATGCAAGGCCCCTCTGCAGAGGCATGTCACATGGGTTTTGTCAAAATCTTAATGGACACATTTCCATTTGCTGTTATTTTTACTTTTAAAGCTAAACACCAGATTTCAGGGCATGGAAGAAATTTTAAATCAATGGCTGGGTCTTGCAGCTTCCACTGGCTTATAGTCCCACCAGCCGTTCAGGAAGAACAGGACACATGGTAGAATTTGGACAGCAGGGAGGTTTCTTTCTCCTGTGCTGGCAACCTGAAGCTGGAGACACCTTCATATGAATATTTTTCATCAACATCTAGTCCAGAAATCTCTGGTACAGAGAAACATTCTCTAAATCTTGGGTGGAAATGGACTCTTTCACATTATTTTTATATGCAATTTCTGAAGATCCCTCTGTAGCATAAATTTCTTACTTCTTCTATTTAGATCAGGCTTTATTTTGGGTGGAAACCCTGGTGTTGTGGTGGTTAAGAGCTATGTTTGCTAACCAAAAAAGATTGGCAGTTCAAATCCACCAGGCACTCCTTGGAAACCCTACGGGGCAGTTCTACTCTGTCCTGTAGGGTTGCTATGAGTCGGAATCGACTTGACAGCAAAGGGTTTGGTTTTGGTTTATTTAGGGCAATTCTTCATTTGGGTAAAAATCTCCTTGTTGTTTAAGGCGATCATACCGTGAGAAACAAACTTATTTTAGACAGAACAACTGTGACATTTTAGGAAATTATAAAAACTTGTTTGTTGTTGCAAAAAGTAAACTTTATGATCTAGCTGCTTAATAAACTGCATTTTTTAGAATAAATTCATTTCATCTGAATCACCATAGTTCAAAAACTTTAAAAACCAATATTTTACTCTAACCCCAATCACTCTATTATTCTCTAAAGCCCAAAACTAAAGCAATCACCAAAAGTTTTGAAAACAAACCAAAAATCTTTATTTACAAAAGTAAATTTTAATTGACTTTTATATAGCATATAATGTCAATGCTGACAGTAACATCTTCTCTGGAGCCACTTAGATTTTAAAATACATGGAGGTTCGTGCAGCTCATTTCCCTCTAGTTATATTATAAAAATTATAATTTTTCTTAGCTTTGATGTTTGGTCACATTTTGTGCAGAAGTCATGTTTCAGGGCAGATGTACCACCAGACATGATCACATAACCATCGGCTGTGGATTTCCAAGGAGCAAAGGAGCCAATCTTAGCAGAGCTCGCACTGGCATTTTCAGCTGTTTAAATTTGAAGAGTAATTCAGCAAAGCTTGTGCTCCCTAAAGAAATAGAAATGGAGGAAAAGGTCACATCTCAGAATAAACTCAGCCATACATACCCCTTCAAAGAAGCTTCAGAGACAAAATCACATTTAAAACAGGCATTCTTCCCTTTGTAAACAAGTCCTCAACAACAGTATTTAAATTATGAATTTCCCCAGTGCGCTGTTAAAATGTTTGATATAAAAATTAAATTTATCTACTCCATACTTCAGAAAGTACCCGACAGCTGTATTTGAAATTATGAATGCTGTAATTATATATAGTTTAAATATAGCTAATAAATGTACCTATCTGCTTCAATTACCATTTAAGTCATTTTTTTTTAACTGTTTCCAATTCTTAATCCGTACACTTAATGTTTTACCTAAAAAAATAAAAAAAACAAAAAAATCCACAGGCTCCAAATGAGTAACAGAAGTTAATCTAATGCCTCTTCCTCTAAAAAGCAATTCTGGAGACCCCAAATGGGACCAGTGCTACCCAACTCCTGAGATCACCTCTGGATGACGGGAACTGACTGCTCCTCCCAAGTGCACACCAGTAATCTTTCTCCGGAGGAGATTTGTTTCAGCCCTTGAGGCCGGAGCCAAACTCAGACCCCTTGCTGGCGGACTACATTGAAGAGGAGAGAGAATGGCGTCAGGTGCCCCAGGGAGAGGGAAAAGACTCCCCTGGTAAGTAGGGAAATAAGTCCTATTGTTCAAAAAGTGGGTAGACTGTAGATCTGGCAGTACTTAGCCAGTGAAAGTCAGGGTCAAACACTTTCCTTTTAAATAGCTGTCTGTGACTCCAGGTTTGATACAGAAATAAGTCCTATTTGTGGAAAAGTAAACAGACTATAGATTCTGGTAATGCTAAGCTAGTGAAGATTGGGTCAAATACTTTCATTTTAAATAGGCGTTCTGTAGTTTTAGGTTTTGGTACCATGGAAAATAATTTGAGCATTCCAGAGCGTAGTCCTCTAGGGTCTATTAACGAATTAGCCTTATTTTGGATATGACCCGATGAAAGTCTAAGATGAAAATTTTTTGTAATACCACCTGGCCCCAATACGAGCTCAGGGATGGCAACTACTGGCCTGAGAACAGATCCTTAAATGATAAAATCATACTGTAGTCAGATCTGTTCTGTACTAAGGAGCCCTGGTGGTGCATTGGTTAAGAGCTTGGCTACTAACCAAAAGGTGGGCAGTTCGAATCCACCAGCCGCTCCTTGGAAACTGTATGGGGCAGTTCTACTCTGTCATAGGGTTGCTATAAGTCAGAATCAACTCGATGGCAACAGGTTTGGTGTTTTTGGCTTAAAGAAAGAAAATGGGATGAGAAAATGTGTTGAAGCTTTTATTTCATGGCAAAATAAGTTCGCAGAAACAATATAAAATCATGGTTCCAACCAAGGTTAAAACCCATTTTGTCTAGTCCTTTTAACTGGAGGTTACAGACCTCCCCTTTATCCTGTAATCCCTTCATCAGCCCCTGAGGCCTCCATTGCTGAGATGTTTTACCCGGCATACACTTGAAGCGGCGCCCGATTTGGTCCGGGGGACCCAGAACTCTCAATAGGACTATACCTGTTAAGGCAACTCCCTGCGCCAGGTGGAGGTGAGGACGGGGCAGCGGGAGCTCTGGCCATGATCTGGGTACATAGCCCATTCACAACTTGACTTATTCAATTGGAAAAACAACCTACCAGCATACTGAGAGGATCCTAAGCGAATGCATGATCTTTTCACTTCTATTTTTAAAACCCACCACCCAAATTGGGCAGACTATCAAGCTTTCTGTAACATTTTACTCACTCTGGAGGAGAGGAGAATGGTTTTTGAAAAGGCCAGGGAAGAAGCAGACAGGCTCCACCAACAAAATGTCTATGGCCATCCCCCTGTAGATTTGGCTGTGCCGGTCACTGAACCAGGTTGGGATCCAAACACCCAGGCCAGCCAAGCCGGATTAAATCAGTACCGTGACTGCTTGCTCAAAAAAGGGGCACCCAAACAAAAGAGTTTAAACAAAGTGTATGAAGTTAAAAACTGGAGGGAAATCCTTCTGCCTTTCTTGAATGAACTTTCATACAATTTACTGATCTAGATCCTGAGGTGCCTAAAAATACCTGTATGGTGTATATAATATTCATATGGCAAAGTATCCTTGACGTAAGAAAAAAATTACAGAAAGTACAAGGCATTGTAGAAATGAGAATTTCACAGTTGGTAGAAATAGCCTTCAAGGTCTATTCTAACCTAGAACAAGTGCAGGAGAGAAAGGAGAATCAGCGTGCCAAACAGCAAGTAGCTATGCTTTCAGCAGTCTTCCAGCCAAAAGGAGGTTTCTGCCCCTGGCCACTAGGGAAGGTTTCCCCAAGGTCTGGGACTCAACCCAAGCTAGAGAAAAACCAATGTGCGTGGTGTAAACATGAAGGGCAGTGGAAGAGAGAATGTCCTAAGAGAGAGAGGGCCCTGAAGGAACCTGAAAAGGTTATGATACAACAAGGTGAAGATGCACAATGAGGGGGACCAGGGACCCATCTTATTCCAGTTTCCGACAAGTCCCTGGTTAAAGTAAAGGTCGGGGGAGAAGTGACTGATTTTTTATTGGACACAGGAGCCACCTATTAGGTTATTAACAATCTGAAGAGACCTTTATCAAAGAAATCAATACCAGTGGTGAGAGTTACGGGAAGAAAGATTACTAGAAATTTTATCCAACTCATGGAGTGTTCACCTGGTGACTCCACTTTAACTCAGTCTTTTCTCTACAAGCTGGAGTGCCTGGTTCCTTTACTAGGGTGAGACATGCTTTATAAATTACAAGCTCAAATCTATTTCCCAAGACGGTGAACTAAATTTACCAGTACCTAAGGAGCAAGGGTGGAGAATGCAGGCCTACCTGTTGACTCTCATGAAGCCCATTGCAGCCCCAACCAAGATTGCACCTAAACACATAGAGGATGCAGTAGGCCTTTGGGTATGGGCACAAGGGCAACCAGGGCGAACTAAAACTGTTGTTCCAGTTAAGGTTTAAGTGTTCCCAGGAATCGGCCAACCACAGGTGAAGCAGGACCCTCTAAGGCTAGAGGCAAAATGAGGCCTCTGCCCACTTACCCACCAAAATGTAGAATCTGGACTCATACGAACATGCCAATCCGCTTATAATACACCAATTTTGCCTGTAAAGAAACCTCATTACAATGAGTATAGGTTTGTTCAAGACCTCAGAGCAATTAACCAAATAGTAGTTACAGTCCATCCTGCAGTGCCAAATCCATATACTCTTCTAGGAGATTTTGCCTGGTTTACTGTTCTAGACTTAAAAGATGCCTTCTTTTGTATTCTATTAGAGTCTGAAAGTCAAGAATTGTTTGCCTGAGTGGGAGGACCCCAAAAGGGGTGATAAACAACACAGTTTTGCTGGACTCTACTCCCACAGCAGTTCAAAAATAGCCCCACATTGTTTAAGACAGCTCTGGCTAAAAGCTTAAGACAGTAAACCCTCCAAAACAGAGTTCTGCTTCAACTTGTTCATAGCAAGCAAGACTAAAGAAGAATCAGATTTAAACACTATCACCACTCTTAACTTTCTGAGCCAGGCTGGGTACAAAGTATCCAGACCTAAGGCCCAGATTTCCCAAGCCAAGGTTACATTCCTAGGATTCTGGATATCTCAGGGAAAAAGAGAACTGCTCTGAGAGAGAAAAGGGACTATTTGTGCAATCTTGCCTTCCAGGTCCCAGAGGCAATTCTGAGGATTCCTTGGAATAGCAGGTTTTTGCAGAATCTGGATTCCCAACTTTGGACTAATAGTCGGGCCTTTATATAAAGCAACTGAAGGGAAAGATTTAGATCCTTTTACTTGGACTGATGAACAACAAAAAGCCTTCCAGACAATTAAAGAAACATTCATATTGGTCCCAGACCTGGGGTTCCCTAATCTAGCAAAACCCTTTGAGCCATCAGTGCATGAGAGTCAGGGAACAGCCACAGGTGTCCTAACCCAAAAGTTGGGGGACTGGCGACAACCTATTGCTTATTTTTCCAAAGTTCAAGATGTGTCCACTATGGGGTGGCAGCCCCAGTGCTAATTTTAAAAGAGGCAGAAAAGCTAAGTTTGGGACAATCAACCACCGTGTTTTTTCTTTACTCGATCTTGACAATATTAGAACAAAATGCAGCCCACTGGATGACAGCAAGGCAGATGGCTCAGTACCAAGCCACCTCATTAGACAACCCAGCTGTAACTTTAAAAGAAACAACCATCTTAAACGCAGCAACATTGTTGCCTTCACAGACCACCACTGGTTTAGGACACCAGTGCATACAAATAATAGATGTTTATTTCAGCAGACCTGATTTGAATGATGAGCCTCTCCAAAACCATTACCTTGAGATCTTTACAGACAGAAGTAGCTTCACGGAGAAAGGAACAAGATATACTGGATATGCTGTTGTGACACTGTGGGAAACCCTTGAAACTGAACTGCTTTCACCAGGAACTTCAGCTTACAAGGCTGAGCTCATCACCATGCTAAGGGCTCTCCAACTATCAAAAGGTAGAACAGTGAACGTTCACACGGACTCAAAGTACGTTTTTGGAATTTTGCATGCTCATGGAGCCCTTTGGAAAGAAAGGGGCCTCCTCAATACTGCAGGACAGGATATCAAATATGCAACAGAAATCCTCCAGGTACTCTAAGTTGTCTGGTTACCAAGGAAAATAACAGTCATCCATTGTTGAGGACACCAGAAAGGAGATACAGATGTTATTAAAGGAAACTGGAGAGCTGATCAACCTGCAAAAGCAGTGGCCAAAATGCAATCACAATCTGCCACTGTGGCCCCCGTGATACCCCCGACAGAGATCCCGAAAGAAGACAACCCAGGGTATTCACAAGAAGGCCTCAAACGGGCTGAAGCGCAGGGAGCCACTCATGATGTAGGAATCTGGAAATGTACTCCACAAGGAAAAGTTCTAGTTCCCAAACAGATGCTGTACCCCATTTTG